TTTATAGTTTTTGATATTCTTATACCATCTATAACACAAATGCTGTTTGTGTTCCCATCTGAGCTCTGTTTGTTTAACTCAGGGGTAGGCAACCTCGGCTCTTTTATGACTCATGGACTTCAACTCCCAGAATTCCTGAGTCAGCATAGCTGACTCAGGAATTCTGGGAGTTGAAGTCCATGAGTCATAAAAGAGCCGAAGTTTCCTACCCCTGGTTTAACTGATTAGAATAATTGGAGTTTGATTTTATAGTAGTAGAACAAGTTCATTTAAGTTGAAGAGCCTAACTGCATGTATGCCAACATTTAAACTTCCACTGCCTTACAAATACATAGGACTGTATTTATAGAAAGCCAGATGACTGCTAGCTAGTAACAACTTTAATGCAATTTAATGCTTTTCTAAATGTTTACATCTCAGTCACAGTATGCTTTACTGCTCCATTTAAGCCAGTGGGCACCAAACTGCAGTCTTAATTATTCGGACTTAGTCCAATTGGAAAGAACAAAAAGAGCAGCAAGAGATGGCATTCCAATATTCAAGAGCCTTCCTATTTAGCAGTACTGTATATTACAACTCAATTCTCTGCAACAGAGGCTGAAAAATGTATTCTTTGTTACCTATGAAATGAGCAGATTTTTGACAGGGTTGTTTATATGACTGAATGAAACCACGATTGTTTGAATAAACATCGAAAAAAATGCATTTGAGGTTTTTAAACATATGGCTTTACAAATTTCTCTTTTGACTTTACAAGTCACATTGTATAGTTACAAACTTTCCCCACCCCCAAGAAACGTTTCTCCAATGTCTTATGATATTGCTGTGCTTCAGTACTTCTAAAGTGACTTCCCTGATTTGCTGAATACATATTAATTTTCTGACAACTATTTATCTTCATTAAATTTTAGGATAAACATTCCTTGCATGTGAAGGAATCAGGAGTTGAGAACATCCAATTCAAGATTTTTTTTCAATCTGCATTGGTATGTATACATTTTTTGTAAAATAAACCCCAAACCCTAAACCTTTAATCGACAGTGTTCCTAATTTTAAATCATATGCTAAATAAATGCGTTATCTAGCTTTGAGAATATGGAGAAGAAAAATAATGTATCTGAATTCATCTTGCTGGGGCTTACTCAGGATCAAGAGTTACAGAAAGTCTGCTTTGGAATCTTTTTGATCTTCTACGTGGCAATTCTGCTGGGGAATCTATTGATCATAGTCACAATCAAGAGCAGTCGCCACCTGATTTCTCCAATGTATTTCTTTCTCAGTTACCTTTCCTTCATAGATATCTGTTACTCCTCTGTCACTGCTCCCAAACTGATAGCGGACCTCCTTGTGAAGAAGAAAACCATCTCTTTTGTTGGCTGCATAGCACAGCTTTTTGGGGCTCACTTTTTTGGTTGTACTGAAACTTTTCTCCTCACACTGATGGCATATGACCGATACATTGCAATCTCCAAGCCTCTCCATTATACCACTATTATGAACAAGAGAGTGTGCAGTTGGATGGTGTTTATGTCATGGCTGGGTGGGTTTGTACACTCAACGGTACAGACGCTCCTTACTATACATCTACCCTTCTGTGGGCCTAATGAAATCGACCACTATTTTTGTGATGTTCACCCTTTATTGAAATTAGCCTGTGCTGATACCTACATTATTGGACTT